TACATAATCATTTTACCACAAGAACAGGGTTCCTTTAAGAAATGGTTGCTAGTCAAAGACACTGAATGGTTTGAGAAACTCACTGGAAAATGGTGGAATATTCTAACTTCCCACAAAGTAATCAGTTGCTGATGGGTGGTATCATTTCCTTTGTTTCTGGCATTAGCTGCAGCATACATATGTATGTATATTTGGATGTATTTTAACAAACTATCTTTCTTGCTTTTTAGGTAGTGGAGAAGAATGTGGATCCAGAAACTACATTGCTAACCTACCTTCGAAGGAAATGTATCTGAGCTCAAGAAACATGCATTGCATGGAATTTAAAATAGTCCAGATATTTCCAGGTGGCCTGAAGACAAGGAGTGGGCCAGAGTCCAGTAGAATAAGTTTTAACTGACTCCTGAAAACTCAGTGCCTGTTAATTCGTTATTTCCAACATTTCCAGTTTTGCCAGAGTTAAACTGAATAATGTAAACATAAAGCACATTCAAATTGATGGTAAAACTCTGTGTGAGAAGATGGACAACTCTCATCTTCTGGCTTGCATTGGATTAGTAGGAAATAAGCCGAGCTACTTCTACATTCATTGACTCCCATACTGCAGAATTACTGTAATGTCTAATCTGGAAAATAGCATGGCTTATTTCTAATCAACTCTGATTTCAGGATCAACCAGCAATGCCCCATCAATCACCAAATCTCTTACTTCCCACTTACCTGCTGATCCTTATTATCAAGTCTTAAGTTCTTCCATTTAGCCTCAATTACCACCAGTTGCAATAATTGTAATGCTGTGGTTACAGCTAGTCATTACTGGAGGGTATGGAGGACAATTGCTCTCCCTCCACTATCTGTTGCTATAGTTTTCTTAAGGACTACTGACACTGGCATAGCCTTTGCCAAAGCTACATTTCCCAGAAAGCGTGGTAAGGCTTCATAAACTGCAAAGCAAAATGCCAGGTGCCACAATGATGCCTCTACCTTCCCTTTTTTTGTGGGTTAGATCTAGCTGTACTCACATGACACACAACCACAAACTAACCAACTACATTTAAATTTCATGTGTTGTACACATCTAATTTAGGCAATAAACGTGGACTTGGAGCTCAGAAATCTGGATGAGTGAACCTAAATGAGCCATTGGTAAGCACGTTTAAGGAATGTGGCCATTGCTGGAATCTGGCTTCTATTGTAGGTAATGGTTCAGTGCTTGCTACCTGCAGTTACTGAACCAGGGAGTTGAATCTGGTTATCAGACGTTCAGGAGATGGAAAGGGATAGGCTAGCTGGTTTAAGGGGACTACTTCTCTGGCTTGGGTTAAATCTAAGTGAGCTTTCCCTCTCTCTCTCGTTTAAAATAAGTAGCACGTTAATATTTACATTATAGCCAATCTTAGATGCTGGAAGAGGGACCAGGAAAGAAGAACAGACTGAATGGGGGAAGTTCATCGTTAGGGTCCAGTTATTTGTTTTTCATAAAAAGCTGGGTGGCATTGCCACGGACAAGTGATTGCATATTACTAATTGCATTAAGAATATTCCCAAAGGGAATACCATTTTTTCTGCTAGAAATACACATTCATCGACTTCTATGCTGGAGAATTAATGCCTAATCTGATTTTCTTCCTCACGCTAGTCATACATGTAGAACAAGTAAATATATCTAGTGCATGTAAATTGATTCTTCCTCCCTTTGTCACCAGCTGATCCTCTTCAGCAATTAAAAAAAGGATAAAATTGTATTTATTTAAGGATGTGTGCACAGCTAAAGTTGGACACATTAATCACCAAACCATAAAAGAGGCATATGGCTTCCAGCATTGCATGCACCTTTCTACACAACACATTAAATCAACTCAAAATCTTAAAGAACCATCAACAGAAAACATTAATTAGGAAAAAGCAGCTGAGAACTGATTGATTTTAAAGACTTGCTTGAAGAATTGAAATGAGAAGGTCATGTGCCATTGTTGGCTGTGTTTCATGATATATGTATAAAGTCAAATAAGTTAAAGGTTGGAGGCTGCACTCACATCATCTGTTTAGTTTTAATCTTCATTAGCTTTTTGTGCGTTAGTGAGTTTGGTTAGTTTATGATTCGATATATTGCATGAACCCAATAAGCATGTTGTGTGAACATAGTACATGAGAGTGTAGCCAATTTAAATCAGTCTTGTCTAATAGTTTTGTGCTTTTTTATCAATTGATTAAATCCTACAGTTTAAAAATCAGATTTCCCATCAGGGAATACAGATCACAATGCAAGCTTGTTATCAGGATCAGAGACTTTCAATGTTAAAGGATTGTAAGCAATATAGCTGTGTTGGTACATTTTCCTTAACCTCTATCCTATTAGTGGGCTTGTGTGGAACCAAGCTGGGCTGTGGAGAAGGAGGCTGTGGTGCTTGCACAGTTATGATTTCCAAGTTTGACAACTTCCGAAAGAAAATAATGTATCCTTTGAACCCTATTTGCTGAGATGGAAGACCAGGCCTTGAATGTTGGCTTGCAGAATTTATAATCGACAGGGCAGGTACTTAATACTTGGGAACATGTGTTTTTGCAGAATCAATCTGTTCCTCTTGAAACTCCATCCCAGGTCATAGAAAAGCTTGTGGACAAGAAATATTTTGTAAAGCCTTTGCTCCCAGTGCCTTGTACAGATGTATTCTCTAGAGTTGTGTGAATATACTGCTGTGCCATAGTTATGTTGACTGTCAATAGGACTAACTTTCCCAAACCTGTCTAATCTGCTAGATTTCAGCTTCCATAATTCCCAGCCAGCAAGGTCCAGCTGATGAAGAATTATGGGAGTTGAAATCCAACATATTGAGCAGTGGACTATGAGTAAAATGATTTGGCATGTCTAGAACTAGTAGAACTCCAGTGTTCCAGGATAGGATTTTAAACAAGGAGCCAAGCAGAGAGCAGTCCTCACCAGCCTGCACCAATTGGAAACCAGCTTGGCTAAAGGCTAATCAGAAGTCAGGACGCCTGGCATAACGAGTGCCACAATACTCAATTGCCTGTGGTCTGTGTAGCAGATCACTTTGCTTCTGAAGATGCCAGCCATAGTTGCCGGTGAAACATCAGGAAATCTGTTCTCTAGACCATGGTCATTAAACCCTGAAGCCCAACACTGACCAATAGGATTTTAAAGTTTCAATGTTCAAGTTTTGTCTAGCTATTCTGGTAATATTTTAGTACTGCTGAAGCATCTGATAAAATGTATTAAAATCCACTGCACTTTTTCAGCTCTGCTATCTTAGATTACTACTTGCTTTATATGCCAGATTTCATAGTCTAACAGTGAATTATGATCTTCTGAAGGGATGATGATATTCTCTTGATGTCAGTTTGTTCTCTTTCCCATTTACCTTCCATATCATTATCCAATGACGGTGCTGGCAATTAGAAGCCGCATCCTTTTGGCTAATGTTTGCTTGATCTTCAACTTTCGTCAGGCCTGGTCAGCATAAACCAATGGGGAGGCACTGTCTTCCAAAACATTTGGATGATGCCAGAACACCTACCTCTGTTGCAGTTTCAATATGAGACTAACAGCCCAATCCCAAACATTGGCCTTCATGATTTTGTTGGACTTCTTTAGGGCACTGAAGATTTTACAAAACAAACAGCCTCCTTAATTCATTGCTCCAGACATTACACTGCAAATGCGTGTTTATTCCCCATCTGTGCCCTCCACCACGTAGCTGTAACCACTGTTGAAGGCATAGGAAGCACAAAGACAAGGCTGCACCCTGTACAGGTAAGCTGGGGAGATGTGACTACCTTTTAACAAATGTTCAGGGTCACAGATTACATTAAGCCATAGTTTATTGTATGAACAATTGGTAGTTCATACAATACACAAAGCCCAATGAAATTCTGTTTGTGTAGTGTAACGTGTGAACCAGACCAGACACTGGCTGTGTTCACATCTATCACCAAATGCAAGTTGATTTGTTTGATTTGGTTTGGCATATTGTATGAGTCAATTTTTCTTGTAGGAGAGAATAGCCAAAAGCCATGGATCACAGTGTGGTTTCTGTACTCCTGGCATTGTCATGTCCATGTATACATTGCTTCGCAATCATCCTCAGCCTAGAATGGAAGAGATTGAAGATGCTTTTCAAGGTAAGATCGCCAGATGCAGTGGACCACAACTCCCATCTTTACTGGCCCAGTCACTTGTCATCATGAAATAAAACAAGAAATATATTTGAAAATGATGGTTAGCTGATAAACAGTCAGTTTAGGTTGAACTCCCTTGACTTGGGAATTTGTTATGATGTCTTTTGAGACTGGAATCCTGCCTTCCAAAGTTATCAAAGCTCCAGAGACAGTTACTCTTTACTCTATTGTCAGATTCCTTTATTGGAGGCAAAGATGAGTCTCTTTACGGTACAGAAAAAAAAACAACTAAAATAATCTTCCTTCTATTATGTTCTATGTGCCTGTTAACTTTTTCAACTTGATTTGGCAACTTAGGGAATCTCTGCCGCTGTACAGGATACAGACCCATTCTGGAGGGGTACAGGACATTTGCAAAGGTAAGGGGCTAGAGATAAAATGTCTTGATACTTGGTGACTTTTCCAAGTAAATGTGAAGATGCAATCTGCTCTGACTTGAGCTCAACTTCTGATTACTTCACAGCCATGTCTACTACTTGACAACAGTACTGAAGGGATTTCCCAGTCTAGCCTATTGCCCTGATATTCCTCGGTGGTCTCCTATTTTAGTACTAATCAGGCCTAACTCTGTTTAGCTTTTAAGCTCACCCAAAGTCAACTAAGTGTTGCTGGTTGCTGAGTGTAAGGGATTTTATATATGGTATGTAGCATGGCATGGGCAGATAATTGGCTGGCAATGCCTTTCAGTACTGTATGGCAGCTCCTCCATCAAGGTGTTGGAGGAGGGGAGCTGGAACATCTGGAGTCTTGCTGTGAGTAATTTTCATCATTCTGGACTTCTTGGCATTGACCGTGATACTTTCTTATGCCATCTGTTGGGGAGGAGAGTTTGAGGGTATTGCATTACAGTGGTTTCAATTCTTCCTGTCAGGTTGTGTTCAGAAAGTGGTGCTGAGGACTACAGTTCCACACCTAGGCTGTTGACCTAGGGGTTCAACAGGGCTCCATGTTGTTCCCTATGTTGCCTCCATAGACTCACTGGGATAATTATACCCAGTTTTGTTTCTCATTATCATCCAATTTCAAGAAAACAGTTAATATTCTTGAACATTACTGAAGTTTGAAAATGGGCTAGGTGAGAGAGAAAATGCTAAAATTATACCCGGGCAAGATATAAGTGCTGTTGTCAAAGAAAACTGGACTTGGGGGCTGCAGTAAAGCCTGGGGTGGCACTCTCCTACAAGGAGCAGGTTCACATTTAGGGAATGATCCTTGACTTCCAGTTGTGACTAGATTTGCAGGTGGCATCTGTGGTGAGCTACATGGTTGCACAACTATAGCTAGTCCACCAACTGCAACTCTTTCTGCAACCTGGTGACAATTATTCACACCTTGGTTCCAACTTATTGTGGCTACTGCAACACGCTCTTTGAAGAATGTTCAGAAATCACAATTGGTGCAAAATTAAGTAGTAAGACTGCTAACTGATAGAAGGTATGGGGATCACCTAATGCTTGGGTGGAACAATGTAAAATAGTTGCCACTTGCCTGTGGGGCACAAACTAAATATTGGTTTAGGGCTTGACTATTTGAGGAACTGCCTTCCCAAGTATCAACCTGCCTGGTACTTAGATAATCAGGAGAAACCATTTTGAAAATGTCCCTGCTACTGATACATGGTGGAGGGCCTTCTGTGTGTTTCCCAAGCTATGGAATGCTTTCCTTGAGGAGGTGAGTTTGTCCACTGCTCTTCCAGTATTTAGAAAAATGAGAAACACATATCAATTAACTGTTAATGGAAGTTTATTATATTGATTTTAATTTAGATTTTAATTGTTTTGGTTTACTCTTATCTTTTATTTTTTATTGTTGTAAGTTGCTTTGATTTCTTATATAATCAGAAAACGGTACAAAATAAATCAATAATTGTCCACCATGGGAATACATTGTTGCATTTGTTGTTGTTGTCTTCACTGCCTTTATATCCTGCCTTTTCTTTGAGAACTCGGGATAGCTTACATTGGTATCTCCCCTGATTTAATTCTCACTTCTAAGATGGATTGGGGTGAGAGACAATGGTTGGTTCAAAGTCATTCTATGGTTGAATGGGGACTTGGACCTCAGTTTCTTTAGTCCAAATCCTATCTTTTATCAATAACACCTGAGTCTGATCCAACACAACTCTTCAAATGTTTGCATGTTCTTTTAACAGCATGGAAAGTTTATCTGGAAGTATTTCTTTCACTCTAGGAAGCAGGATGCTGTGGGAAACAAGCAAATGGAGTCGGTTGCTGTATGGCTGGAAAAGAAAGTAATGTAAGTTGCATAAATCAGTTTGGATGTCTCCCAACTTCCTTAAGTATTTCCAAAGGAAAGAAAATAATATTTGTTTTAATGATATGTAATTTATTGTAATTGGGTTATCTATCACCCTTGACACAACAAACTTATTTCTAAAAATCAATTTAAATGCCATGACTCCCTCCTCCTGCCAAATAAACATAAATGTAGCTGTTGAGAATATTGAGAATTCTATTAAAGATTCTCATCCTGATAACTATAATTCCCAGGATTATTTGGGAAGAAGAAATGACTACTGAACCATTTTAGGTTTATACATATATTCTGATTTGTCAATATCAGGTGTTAAAAGCACTGATAATTAGGTGTTAACTAATTTTGGTATAAGCACTAACCCATAACATTTACTGTTGAGTGAACATGCATAGCATACTTAATGTGCTTTATAATTATAACCCTCTTCAGTATTCTCTTTTTTACATATGAAGGGACCATGAAAAGCACCGCGTTTGCTCCACACTATAATGTTACCCTGCATCCTGGCAATACTTCTCAGACAACACACAGTTAACTTAAATTTTAACAGGACCACCATAATCATGCATATTGTTTACAATATGGGGAAGCACTATATTGTAAATATAACAACAGAGCTTTATTGTGGTTAATGACCAGAACTTACAACTCCACAAACAACCTAAATACAATCCAAAATAAAAGCACGTATAGTGGTGTGACCTTCAATTTGATCTGGGCTGTAAATACAGGTGGCCACAAATAGCCTTCAAAATTCTTCAAATCTGTGGGCATGAAATTGGATTGACAATCTTTCCAAATTTCTCCAGGGCAATGAAAAATTATCCAATCATGCCTAAAGGACAAGACTACCCCTTAGTGGTGACAATAGGACCGCTTACCTGGAAAACCCCAGTGGGAAGACCCAGTGAGGTCTTCCTTTGGGATTTAAGGGATCATGGGAAGCCAAAGAGACTGCAGATCACCGGAGAGATGATTGTAAAATGAAAGAAGCAGAGTATGTTCACACTCAGCTTTTAGATACCTCAACTTTAGTGCAAGAACGTTCCACCCCTGAGAAAGTTTATGAAATTCTCTTCTACTCTGAAAGAAATTTAAAAGAAAATTCTCTTTTCATCTTTCAACTTTTAGTACAACATGTATACTGTATATGTACTGTATTTTTTTTAAAGTGTTGGATATCTTTACATTGTGTATTTCATAAATGAAAGAAATAACAAATGTAATTTTATCTTCATGAAGGAAAAGGCATTTTTATTATGATACCTTATTAAATATTGTATTTAATTATTTAATATTTTTGTTCCTTTTTTCCTTTTTGTTGTGTTATAAATCTTGATACATTATGTTACTTCAGTACAAGGATATTTACATGATATAATTATAAATTGTATAATTATAAATTCCTGACATTCCATTATTTAGATAATTTAAAGTATTGGAAACTTTAAAAAAAAGTAGATATCCTATCAATATTAGCTACAATTTAGGATATCAGTGGTACAAGCATTGAAATTATTTGGCTTTTTCATTCCAAGCTAAATATAACATTGAAAAAGAAAAATGGAAAAAGTACACGCTGCAGCTTTCATCAAGGTATTTGTTATATAACCAAGGTTTTGGTCTTAAGCTAAATTACCTAATATTAAAATCTCCATTGTATTGTTACTTGGGGTGTGTGTGTGTGTGTGTGTATGAATGCAAGGAAAAAATAGATGAGCAAAGCAAATTTAACAAAAATTAAAATACCAAAAAGAAAAAAAAAAGAAAAAAAGGGAAAAAAGAGAATAATTTCTTTTTAAAAAGAACCATTCACTTTCTGACTTCCCCCTTTTTAATTCCTCCCCTAATTTGCTACATTTGTCTTGTCTTGTTCTTTTTTCTAATAGATTCAGGGGTGCAATGACCTAGGCTGTTGCATGAATGAAAAAGAAGGCAATTCAGTAAGTTCATGAAACCTTTGGATATGGATATTTACTCTTGTTACTTATGTAGAAAGAAACAGAGAAATTATCCCCAGCTAATGTTCTATAGGTGAATTAGGGCTACCACTTCCAGAATTCTTAGTTACTTGTAACCACTGGTTTGTTTGCTTGGGAATTTTGGAAGTTGTAACTCTAACAAATCAGGAGTCATCGAGTAGTAGGAAACTGACTTAACAATTACTTGGTCATGTATTACCTGAACAAATATTATTACTTCTTGAAGGTCCTTATTGTTACTAAATGTAAATATATATATATATATGCTGTTCAGAAATAAAATACAAGAAAATAGCCTTTAATAGTATAAAACAAAAAAGAGGAGGAGGAGGAGGAAAAGAAAAAGAAGTTTAATTCAAGGTGCTGGTGTTGACCTTTAAAGCCCTTCATGGCATGGGACTGGGTTATTTGAGGGTCCGCCTCTCCCTCATTTCATCTGCCCATCCCACTAGGTCTAGCAGAGAGGGCATGTTACGGGTCCCATTGTCTAGGGAGCTACATTTGGCAGGCCCTGGGCGGCGGGCCTTTTCTGTTGTGGCGCCTGCACTGTGTAACCTTCTCTCCCCAGAGATGAAATCGGTCCCATCACTCCTGAGTTTTCGAAGGTCTCTCAAGACCTGGTTATGTCAGCAGGCCTGGGGATCCCAGGGGACAGGTGAACTAGTGAGGTGGCTCTATTAATAACATCCCTTTGCCTGTTATTTTCCTTTTCCATTTTAGTTCTGTTTTTTTTTAATGTTTTAATAATTATTATATAAGAGTTTTATGCAATGGTTGTTTATATATTTTTTGTTTTATTGGACTGTTGTATGCTGCCCAGAGTCACTTTTTGTGAGATGGGCGGCTATATAAATTTGATTAATAAATAAATAGCATTGCTTTTCTTCTGCAGGGACTGATTACCACAACTCTGTTCAATAAGTCTGAGTTCCAACCTTTAGATCCTACCCAGGAGCCTATATTCCCACCTGAGTTATTGGTGAGTTTTCTTTTCCTCACCAGGCTGACTGAATTTCCTTATGGAAGATTTTGGAATTCTTGTTGATTTATATCCCTAAAATGGTCTATCTAGGAATTCTGGGAGAACACCATGTTGGAGAAAGTTAAACTTAGGTATACTGCCTGGAGCTAACTTGAAGTTTATATCAGTAGCTTCTTTTTCTTGACAAATTTCAGTGGTGAATAAGGAACTATAGTAGAGCTGGAGAGAAAGAAGGAGGGAGGAAAAAGGCAGGTTATTTTTCTAAAAAAGAAGAAGAATGGGTCAACAACCATATGCAAATTGGGGGTCACCCCAATTTGCATATGGTTGTTGACCCATTCACCGCTCTTTAATCTTTAAGTAAATACTCTCAGAGATAATGGGAAATGTTATCACTAACAGTTTACAGTTCTATAGAGAAACATTGCAAATTTTCTTAATTTCAACAGTAGGCTGCTGAAAAAGATTTGTAATCCCTCTGCTTACGTAGGTTGTTATATCATGGAAAATCAATCCAGGATAATGGCCCCGACACAGGGATTTAATTCTATCTGTGTCCTGACCATTGCACAGGAAACATCTGATGATGGATATTTGTCTCCTTTTATAATCAGAACTATCTATTCACCTTAGTCAAGCAATTTCTTCTATAATTCAGGACTTATGTACTCAGGCGTTTAGCAGGTGGCATCACCTGCTGATCTGGCTTGGACAAGGAAGCTTAGATGAGAGACCTCCAGGGAATCCTGGGATTGCAGACTAGATTGGGAAGTAGAATATAAAAATATAAATATCCTAGAAGAAGGCAATGGCCACAACGTTGTTGCCAAGAAAATACATGGCTATGTCCATGAAGGCTCCTTCCTTCCTGGTCTTTTCAAAGCTCTTTTTTTTTTTTTAAAAAAAAAGCTCTTTTTGAAACTGAGCTGTTTCAGAGAGCCTTCCCCAATTTGATTTCATGTTGCCATCTTTTTATTTTCTTTGTATTCTTGCAGTGTTCTTGTGTTTTTTTTTTTTGTATGGAACTTGTTGTATACTGTATTTTTTTCTGTGTGGTCCACCAAGAATCATTTTGATTGCAGCAGCACAGAAATAGGTTTAATAAGTAGATAAGTAAATAAACAAATAAAAAATAAACAGGACCCCTGCTACCTTAAATAAGAAATGCTTCCATATCTGAAGATGAAGGAATCACATCTGGGCAAGGAAAGGGGGTAATTGATTCCAAACCCCATTCTATGAAATCTTCAAATTAAATCTTATCTTGGAGTGTGGATGGATTGAAACCCAGTATAATGACTGATTGTATTGTTGTGTGAGATTCATGAAATGGAGACTGTACAGAACATGAAGTGGCAGGTTTTTGTCGTTGCAAAGATAGGTTTGGGTAAATTGTGTTACAGTAACTTTAGGGCTTTAACCCATGGCAGAATTGCTGAAACTGTAGTTGTGACTCCTAGGTGATGGAAAGTGAATGTGAAGGAGGTCACAGATTCTTTTGAGCGTGTCCAGGCACAGCAGGATCACTATCAGAACTTGTTCCTACTTTGCCTGCACAGGCCTAATGGTTTGCATACCAAATGCCAGATTGCTGCCAGAACTTACTCCTGCCCTGCCTGGCACCAAAATCAGAATTTTCTACAGATTGTATTACAAAGAATAAATATCTATCTGAAACAAATATGGAATGAGAAGTGTAAATGGTTGTCTCAAAAATAAAATCCAGATTTCAGGGACCACACAAACATGGTTTTAATTTTGTTTTACTGTTTATTTCCAATGAAAAAGTTTCATTTTATAAAGTTGCAATGTTCTACTGTTGTTTTGTTTTATATATAAAATTATTAAATGTAAATGGTATATTTATTCCTTTGCCTAACCCAAACCCCTATGAAATTATTTGCTTTATTTATAGGGAAGGGCCCATTGGACCTAAGTCCTGGCTAAACGCTTCTGCCTTGCTAATCTGCAACCAACGAGGCTTTGGGGCAGCCTTGTCAGAGAGCAGGGGCAAGGGACTTTGATGAATGAAAGCTAGTATTTCTTAAGCTACGTTACCTCAAGCTTTGTTCCAGATGGATCTTCTGTTCCAGGGGAGACTTCTTTCCCCTCCCCCTTACTGTTGTTATTATTATTATTACCCCATATTATTACCCAACTGGATAATGAGAGAGGGTTTATTTATGAATGTATTGACTTCATAGAAGGACTCCTATACTGTTTCTTGTTGCAAAGAATCCTGAAGCCTGTGACTCACTGGGAGTGGAAGCTACAGCTACAGCTATAATGCAACCCTTCTCCTCTCCCCACCCTAGAGTCTTCTGGAGTTTGGAGAGAAACATATCCCTATGAATCTCCAGTCTCCCTTACAAAGCACTGGGAGTTCAGAGTCAGGTGCAGTCCACTTTGAAGGACCCCAGTTCAAATCAGCATGATTCTGTTCAAGATTCATCCAGATTTGAACCATGCATCTTGGTTTTTCCATCTAAATCTGTAACATATACTTTCCTTTTCTTCCATTTTAGTTACAGCAAGTCTTAGCTTGGGGATTGCTGCAATCACACTGAGCTGAGATTTCTTGCTTTGTGACTTCATATTATTACATGAAGCTAAACCTGGCCATTTCTCCACAGACACAGAATAAGCTTGTGAAGCAACTGTGTTTCAAAGGCGAGCGAGTGATGTGGTTGCAGCCATCAACTCTCAAGGAACTTGTGGCTCTGAAGGCTCAGCACCCCAATGCCAAGCTCGTGGTAGGGAACACGGAAGTGGGTAAGAGGAACAATTCTATTGCCTGTTGAGCTTTTGCAGCTCACTGCAATACTATGCCATGCAATGTCTACACTCCCAGGTGCATATTAACAGATATGTGTCAGCCCAAGTATATAATTGGCTGGCCAGTCAAGATCTTACTTCTTCCTTCATAATGTCAAAAAAAGTCCTTTGCTTCACCATGAATAATTAAAGCTGCAATTTTATACACACCAACCTAGGAATTCTGTTTTAAAGAGTCATTGTTTTTTTTAAAAAGACAATGACAATAATCCTACAAAATAAGCGGCTTGGCCACTTCACTCTTAATTGTGAAGCAAACCTAAAGACTCCAACCAACTTTTCGTACAAATTATCCCATTCTCATAATACCAGTGTCCCTGCTCCCCGCAGGCTGGGTTTACGTATATACTAAGCCATAATGTGGTTAGTCATATGAACCCAACCAATGTGGTTTGTAAACCATGGTTTATAGTTTAACAAGTTGTGTAAACCCAGCTAATTGCAGTTTATTCAGTGAATATGGCTATGATGGCTATGTTTTACCTCTAATATACAGGCAGTTTGATACTAGATATCAACTGCTAAGAGTAAGGAGACTAGATGCCCTCTCAGATAATCCAGCAGACCTCTTGTTATGTTTGTGGGAGCCATATCTGATCCCAAAGCAGAATGAATGGAACCACTGTTTCTCTGGGGGAGTGCCTCAAAACAGCATGAAAATTCTAAACAAGTTTTCAGGCACTTTTCAGCACCCATTAACAAGTCTCTCCCCACTCCCTTGGAGATACAATATTGTGAATGTCTGAAAGCCACATGCTTCAAAGGGAAGGGAAAATGCTGTTCAAACCAGTTGGCTTTCCTGAACCAATCATAACTGCTATAGATCTCCAGTTTGCTTATCCCAATCATAAGATTTTAAAAAACTTGATGTTACATAGAATGTGGTTACTGCAGAAAGAACGAAAGCAGTATGGGCAAGAGAATATTAAGGAGTATTTGTTGATGCCAGGCAGAACAGAAAATCTAGGTAGGTCTTGGCCTTGTACATTCATTCCAAGTCAGTGCAAATGGCTTCCCTTTCAGGCATGCAGGGTGGCTCTGGAGATTGCTTCAGGAAGGGGGCACCATCACCATTGGAACAGGATCAAATGTGCTGGAGTCTGTTACATAAGAGCTCTGCTGTTTCAATGGCAGATTTACCACTTCTGGCTGGCTGCCATGTCTGCACTGACCTCACTGGATTTTGTTTTTTCAGGGATTGAAATGAGATTGAAGAACATGCTGTACCCTGTGATTATAGCACCAACTTGGATCCCAGAAATGAACTCTGTTCAGTACACAGAAGAAGGTAAGAAGTCTGCCTGTTGCCTTGAGGGATTGGCAAGAGGTGCTTGAAATGCGCAAGGAAAGGTTTACAAGCCAAGATTAGGGTAGCTGGCTGGGTGGACAGCTCCTCTCACCCTGCACCTGTAGGTTGTCTCTGTTCCTGATGCCAAAATATACTGGTTGCACCTCTGGGGGAGGTTCTAACAAAATTCAGAGCTCACATGACACTTCAGTTTCATGAGCCTCAATTCCTGAACATGTTTGTCCTTCTGAGATAGTGAGACTGGCTGGTGGGGTAATCTATCGAAAAGTGCAAAGGTGGTGTCAGGAACTGTACTGTTCTGCTTTAACAAGCAATGGAAGCCTGGATGGGCCAGAAATGGCACTGTACCAAGGGCATTTCCCCAGGACCTCCTGGGAAAATCACAAGTACAGCATGTGGCCAGATCAGGCACAGAAAACTGAGCCAAGACCACATTGGCAAGACTTACAGCAATATTTTCCAAGCAGGTCAGATGGGAATTCCAGGGGCTACAACTCTCATGCAAATACAGGGTGCCTGGTTGGGGAAAGCTATCCAAGAGCAGATGGCCAGATTTATGAATGGAGGCTTGGGATCAGGTGGCAGGTGGGTCACTTGACTGCCCAGAGGCAGCAGAGCCTCTGCTTTAGACAAATAAACCGGCTTGTTCTTCAAAAACAGATGGAAGACTTACACACACATGCACATATCACACTTCACATGACTTGTTTAGAAAAGGGGGTCTATATTTGCATTGCACTAATAGAACATACTCACTGAGTACAAATGTGATAACTCCATTTTTAAATTATATCTTAGTGCATACACAAGAGTTATACTCACTTTCTTGTGATGGCAGAACTGGTTTGCATCCTCTAAAATTTGGTAACTGTCTGGAAAGTGAAAATCCTGGCATGCTGATAATGCTTGCAACCTTTTTAACAGCAGTAACCTACCTTCTCCTGAAAGGGGTCAACCTGTAATCTCCACTGCCCTTCCTCCCCTTTTCAGAGTTGCTTTTCAAGTTTCTCACTATGATTGCCAAAAACCGATGGTCCAATTTTCCGTTTTCAGGGGAGAAATACAAGAAAATTGTAATGTATGCTGTAAAATAGGCATATCACAGTTTTAAAGAAAAGAACCTCCAAAACTCTACTCTCAAAACCAGCTGTCTCCACATATGTGATATAACCCCACCCACTGTGACCCTCAGACTCCTTTCCCCCTAAATTACATGTGCATCCTTGTAAGATATGCAGGAAATAAAACCTCCTTGATTTTTTAAAATAATCCATAGTAAAAGGAACAGACGAAAGTCCTGAAAATTCCTTCAGTTCATAGCCTGAGAGCTATCTTGTGAAGGTCCATTTGGCCAAATCCCTCTTGTTTCTGATTTTACAGGAATCAGCTTTGGTGCCTCCTGTAGCCTGAGCCATGTAGAAGAGGTTCTCAGGAAGGCAGTGGCCCAGCTTCCTTCTTACCGAGCAGAGGTCTTTCAAGCTGTCCTAGAACAACTGAGGTGGTTTGCAGGGCCTCAGATCCGCAATGTTGCAGTAAGTGCTTCCAAATAGTTTCTGCTAAAAGAAGGAAGGAGACAAGAATGGCGAGTGTGATGTACTGTTCCTTTAAAATGTATCTCCCTTTGCACTTTTATATCCCAAATGATTTTATTATCCTTCCCACAATACTTCCCACAATACTCATGGCCAGGCTATTCTACTGACTTTGATTTAAAAGTTGCACAACTTCACCTGACTCTGAATGTCTATACCAGTGTTTCTCAACCTTGACAACTTTAAGTTGTGTGGACTTCAACTCCCAGAATTCCCCAGCCATGCTGACATTCCTTCTGATGTCCCCCCACAAGATTCATGGTGGGAGACGATGCATGATCTCAGGGATTTGGGCAGCAAATGATCCTGTAAGCACTCTTTGTTGCAAAGGTATTTCAAGGTGGCATACATAACACTCCCTCCTCCAATCTTATCCCCAACAACTGTGAGAGTTAACAGCTGGACCCAAGCCATGCAGTGAACTTCTGTGGCTAAATGTGGACTAGAAATTGGGTGTCTTTGTTCCTAATAGAATAATTCCTATATCATGCGTAAAGAGAACAAAGCCTACAAGGCAGTGTGATTTCTTATTATTTTGTAAATTCAAATTGATCAATGAATCTTCTTATGCACGGCTTAGTTTGAACAAATCTTCAGAGGAAATGTCAGCCTAGGAGAACTATAACTTTTAATTTATACCAGCCTTCAGGCCAGAGAGGTATTTTTTAGAGTGAAAATGAGTAATATTTTTTTGTTCTGGCAAATCAGATTTGACTATATATTTTCTTTGCTGGGACATGTTAAATACTGAGAAATTTTGCAGAAACAGTGAAATTGAACAATTTATTTGAATGTCTTTATATTCACTCACTCAAGTACACTTTAGAATAATGAATCAAAATGTAAATCAGTGTTTAAATCCACCAGTTGTTAATTTCATGAAAAAATTTTTAACACATCATGAAAACATGAACAGTAAACAACAAATTAACTTGAGCTGTATCGCTTCCTTAACCTATTCCAGTTCCATTTGAGGACTCTGCATCCCATTTTAACTTTAATCATGTAAAGTTAAAATATTCAGGATTTCCCCCTTTATTTGTTACCTTGATGAGTGATTTTAATGATGTCTCTTGAACTAATTTCTAAGTTACATCTATGCTATATTTGTTTCAGGCTATTGGTGGAAATATAATGACTGCAAGTCCAATATCTGATCTAAATCCAGTGTTGATGGCAAGCGGGAGCAAACTGACTTTGGTGTCAAATGGTAAGAGGTTTCTTGATTTTCTTTGTTGCAGATCCAAACTCTGTTATGGGAGTCAATGGAAGTGTTTCCGTGCCTCATTTTTCTTTCTGGGGCTACTTGGGGAAAGTCGTATGGCCCGTTATTTCCAAGAGCCTCAGTTAAGGGTGTTAGGAGAGCTTCCTTCGGTTATTCCTTCTTTTGCTTTCTAAAGGCTAGTGCTGAATATTCCCCATAGCTCCATATGCTTAGATAGTTTCAACATGTTCACTAGATGGATTATCTTTGTATTTAATTCTAATATTTTGTATCTGACCATTGATAAGTTGTAGTATTTGATAGCTGAGTGATAGTGTATCACACCTTTGTGGTATCTCTGGTTTTCAAATGTTCTGCTGCTGGAATGTTTTAAATGTCTGTCCTGAACCTCTTGAGCACTGAACAGAATTTTTGGAAATGTTTTAGATGCCCTTTAATTTCTGTTGGAGACAGAAGTGGATGGATACACTTTTGTCATCAAGGTATGCTTTGAAACATGCGCATCTCTCTGCGCATTGCTGAGCGTGACCAGAAAAGACCGATAAGCTGTTTTTCATCTGTTCTCATTATGTTACAGCCGACAAACTCAGAGTTCCCAAGAGAATGGGAACTGATACAATTTTTAACATTTGATGGTTGACTCCAGCCTGTCTGTTTCTGGATGACATAGGACTTCAAGGACAATGTCCTTAAAATGGCTGACTTCATGCTGCTTGTGATCCCAGTGTGACATGTGGGATGCTACATGAAATACATATATGAAGCCCAAGACTTCTAGGGAGCACCAGGCTGGAAAAGATAGCTAGGATATATTGTTCCAGTAGCGTAGGTCACAATCCTTCCTTGTGGAAATAAAAGACCAGCTATCCTCCCAATAATAAATAGTTGCCAAGATGAATTAGGAACTCACTTGCTTACCCAGCTCATCCCCTGTGTGCTGTATCTTGTTTTCTTGCAGAGGGCAGCAGGACAATAAGGATGGATGAAAAATTCTTTACTGGGTATAGAAAAACTATACTGAAGCCTCAAGAAATACTGCTTTCAGTTGAGATTCCCTTCAGTAGGAAGGTGAGGTGATCTGAATATTTACTGTCATAGAAAAAATACTGTTTATTTGTGAAGACAAGTGTAATTTCACATGGCCATATTAATCAATACTGCAGAGCCAGTGCTCAAAGCCATGTTAAGTGTGCTATGATTCTTCTGAAACATAGGAAGTCCTTTGGATATAGCATTCAATTCCCCCCCGCCCCCTGCTCTCTCTTTGCTGCTGCTGTTGTTTCTCTTCCTCCTCAAAAGTATCTAGCCCCTATGGCTGCCAACATGTGAGTAAAAGTATCTGAACAGCAGCTACTGAAATCTCAGAAACAAGAGGATTGGGTTACAAAAGATTTCCAGCTTGGGGATGACCTTTAGTACCATGCCAAATCTCTTCCTCCTTCCCATGCCTACCAAAACAGACTGCATTATTCCAATATGGTTACGTACTTACTATTTTAGCACCCAATAACTGAAATAAAAAATAGAGATTAAAATCATAAGAATAGAAAATATTCTAGACAAAGCTATGCAAAACCAGAGAAATTATACTGGGCTGAATTGTCCTTTTCATGGGACAAGATTTTGATTATTTGACCCTGTTCATACAAGTCATTTACTGAATCGTGCAAACTCATTTGTACAGGCAAAATCTTTAACCCAGAAAAATGATCTGCTTAATCCATGCAGAAAGGGTTAGATTTTGTCCTCCCCACAAAGAGAGGTCAGTTATTCAGGGCAAAATTAATTCTCCTTGTGTCACACAAACTAGCTACCAGGTAGTTGATACTCTTTACATGGAAAACTTTGGCCAAAACACCCCTCCAACGTTGACTTGTATTTGTTTCATTTTGTATGAAATGTTAACTGGAAGTAAGAAGCTAGTGATGTAAAATCTTTAAATGCGTTTCCTGCACAGTTTTTGAGTTTAGGAATGGGTATTCTGAAAGAAAAAATAAAATTTAAAAAAGCAGGGAGTGGGGAAGGAAGTGACAACCTCTTAGCATCTTTTGCTGTGGCTAGGGAGAACTGAAAAAAAGCAGTCAAATGACAAATATAGCTGTCCTGCATCATGTACTGTCGTCAAACAAAATTATTGGCTTTGTGTGCATGTGTGTGTGTGCGTGAACTGCCCATACAACCAAGAGGGAGTTAGTTCTTCTAGCATAGAGTAGGTGTTCTTAGATTAAATGTAGAAAATTTAGCTTAGTCTAGGAACGTACAAACATTTTGCCATGAATTCTTTTTGGGTGACTTTGTGGTTTTTCCATAAGATGAATGGTGGTACAAATTCTGACACACATGAAATCTGTCTAGCTTTTGTTTACCCCAAAACAAAACAAACAAACAAAAAAACAACCCATACAATCTATGGAGAGGCTGAGGGATTGTACTTGTTAAAAATATATGAATTGGCTATCTCTTCTAGATTTGTTTAACCTCTAAAAACTTTGGCATACTTACAGCAGTCCAAGATACTTTGTAGATAATGTTCTTCTCCTAAAAGATTAAATAAAGCTGGAAGAGATCGCTCAACTTGTATGTTCTGAAATATTTTCTTTGGTTTTGTTATAAAATGTTAAAGAAAAAATATCCAGTCTTGAAAAACATCCTATGTAAACCAGCAATAGAAGGAAGCAGATTTTTGAGGTTTCACACATTCCAAGCTCAAGTCTGGTCCAGGTTTTAATGCAATTACAGATGGATAAATTCTAAAGTAAGTAGAAGTCAAAACCAGCAATGAGGCAAAGTAAGAATCAAACATATATGCTTCATAGAGTCCATTGTCCCATTACTATTCTTAAGAGCCCAGGAAGAACCTTGCTGGATCAGCCCAATGGTCCATCTAATCCCATTGATCGTGTGTCTGTTCTTGACACTGTACTTCTGTTGAAATGCCTGGGGTCAACAGGCTTATTATCCAACTCATATGTTGGGGACTTTGTGGAGTTACATATGAGATATTTGTGAGTTGTTCATGTTGAAAGAGCATGTTACAGCATGTTACAGCCAAACTCCCGGAATGGTTGATGTGGATTGGTTTCCATAATTTCTGGGCAGTTTGGGGAATTGACTCATCCAGATGCATGGATTCTAGGGACTCAGGGACTCAAGGAGTCTGAGGGCATGGCTGTTATTTTTCAGGGCTGTGTTTATTTTTCTTTCTTCCTTCCTCTCTTTACTAAGCTTATTTATGGATATGGTGGCTGTAGCAACAGCATACTTTCAGTCTTGGTACAAATGCACTTTGGGCAACTATGTTCTTATCATGTTAGTTAAGATCACGCTAGAAAGAAATACGAGATTTTCCTGCCTCTGGAGACCTAAGGGTCTCATGATCTGCAGTGTGGAAGATCCATGAAAAAAATCCAATTGAATTGTAACGTCAATTATTTTTGCCTCTTCTGAGTTATAGTGAAAGCATTTCTTTGACTGGTAATATGTTAAATGAAGAATGGAAAGGGGAAGGTCAATCTAGTTCCAATTTGGGTCAATTTTGCACACATTCTATCCTGTTTCTATATCAGTCAATGGTGGCTTCTTTTCTTCAAAACTCTCCTAATATTAATTTCCGTTTTCTTAAATATCCCCCTCCAAACTCAGAGCCAACATTAACAACAGTTAACCAAAAACATACAATAGAACTGGGCCTACACAAATGCATTAAACGATAGTTAGAAAGATACTATAATCATAAACCACAAAACCAGGAAAGAAATTGTTCAAAAAGACTCTGCCTTAATTAACTAACTAACCAACTAACTTATGGAACAACATTCTGTACCTACCCCAGCCATTAAAGACAGCTTGCTGCAATTTGTGTAGCTCTTGCTTCTTCATCTTGCCCAGCTGCATAGAGCTTGACACCAGTGGCACACCATGCAGTCAGAGCACCCTCTGTTGTGCATAAAAAACCCTAACTTCTCATTTCAGGATCTTGTCCTCTTTTGAAGTTGCGGTGTAAAAGTCTGTAGATTTTTCTACATCCCATATAGTGATGTCATTATAGCAGGACAACTGCATATAAGACCTTAAGAACTCCGTATCATTGTCTCGAACCTGTAAGAATTATATAAAAGTCATACGAATTGTAAACCAAAGACCTGTTTCCTTCCATTCCTGTTTCAAAAGTTAGCATCCATGAGTGGTGGTGTTTTTTGCTCCAAACATTGGAGCCTGGATGATTTGGTATAGTCTGGTTAGTGGTTAAGGTGCTGGCCTAGAAACCAGAAGACCATGTGTTCTAGGCTTCCCTGAGGCATGAAAGCCGGCTGGGTAACTTTGGGCCAGTCCCTCTCTCTCAGCCCAACCCACCTCACAGGGCGGTTATTGTGGGGAAAACAGGAGGAGGAAGGAGTGTTAGGTATGTTCACTGCCTTGAGTTGATCAAATAAAAAAAAAGTGGGATAAAAATACTGTATAATAATAATTTATTGTGCAAAGCAAAAGAATAACAACGAAAAGAAAGGGATGGGTACAAAAGGGCAAATAAAATAAAAATGAAAATGGCACTCTATTCATAGCTTCTTGAGAAATCTGTATGGCTATATTATGCCAGGCGTTCTATGATCTAGAAGTGTGTTCATAGCACAGTGATAACTACATGTCTTTTTACCTCAACTGCTCCCAAATGCCTCTGCATAAAGGCAATTGTAGGATTGCACTTCCTACAAATCATGGTAAAAACATCCTTTTCAGATGCTGAGACCTGCAGCCGAATAATGATGCAAATATAGTGGGAGCACAGTTAAGATCACATTAGTAAGGCTTCTGAGTAAGGCGTACTGTATGCAAGGCAGATGTTGATCTGAGATATCTGCCACTTTAATTATATGCTGAAAGTCAGCTGGTCTCTCAAATAAAGTGCTGTAAACTTAGCAACAGCTGGAAAAATTTAATGAGACAGTGGGAGAAATAAGGGATGAAATTACAAGAAATATAATTTATCTTCAAGAGTAGAAAAGGCTGGGGAGTGTCTGGCTAGAGCAGTGTTTCTCAAGTTTGGGAACTTTAAGATGTGTAGACTTCAGCTCCCAGAATTCCCCAGCTACCCATGCTGGCTGGGAAGTTCTGGGAGTTGAAGTCCACACATCTTAAATGCTTTAAGTTGGTTAGTTGGTGCCACCCATAATTTACAAGGCAGCAAACTAAAAGTTGCAATCAGCTATTACAAATATTTAACACAGTGCTCAGCCAAATGTTGCTCTGTGTGACAAGTGTGATATCTATATACATTTTATGATTTTTTTTAAAGTAAAGATTCATGCCTAAATTGTAATGTGTGACTTGACCTGGAATTTAATATACGATAGTTTGTTAAAGCAGTTTTTAAAGTTTTCCTATGTTAAGAAGAAGGATGGTAATTCTAGTGTTGGAAATACATATGCCTTTTTTTACAGACAGTGGAGAGAAATGATGCCTCCATGTATCCAAATCAAGGGATTTGTTATTCCAGAGTAATACTATTGCCAGTCAATTCCTTAATTCATATTGCATTTTTTAAATGTTTAGTATGTTTGAACTTTTTTCCCTTTAGCTTTTATTTAGCTGGGCAAAATTTTAAAATAGAAATGAATTGATGTGCAGATGGTCAGGATCCAATTTGGTGGAGAAAAGCTTTAGCTTAGGGGCAGAGCACATTAAGGGGGATTATTGCCAGTATGAAGAATATGGTGGTAATTGGACCAAAGATCTGGCTTGGCATGCCACTTCTATATTCCTAAAGCAACGTGGCAGGTCCGTTTTGAACACTGAACCTTGACACTTTCTAGAAAGATTAATGAATCACAATGAGTGTTTGGAAAGAGGACTCAAGGGTCTTAAATGGAAAGTTATAGAGAAATAACCTGCCACTGCACGGCTATTAGCTTTTTAACTGAGCTTCTTAGAATATCAAGACAAGAGAGCACCCTCCAGAACAATGCCTGCAGCCCCTAGAAAAACGAAGAAACAAATACATCAACAAACCAAGATTCTGGGCACAGACATGGTGCAGAAACACTTTTAGCTAATAGATCTCAGTTTCAGAATAATAATTAACACTTGTTCTTAAACATAAACCTGCCTTACTGTCCTCAGAGATGGAAGTGAATATTCACAAATTAAATTGTATTCAGAATGTAGCAACCAAAATTCTTTCATTGTTTGTCGGGAATTCTGTTATATTTTCCCAGTGCTCATTTTTCCTTCATCCAGAAATTATTGCGTAAAAAGGACTGCTGATATTTTAGTTCTGTTGCTGTCAGTGGAGTGACTTCACTCCACACCTACCGCCTGAGATCAGAGTGAAAAAGTCCACAGAACGTTTGCTTCCTCTTCTTTTCTTAGGGCGAATATTTCTCTGCCTTCAAGCAAGCTTCAAGACGGGAGGATGACATTGCCATTGTGACCTGCGGAATGAGAGTTCGGTTTCAAGTGGGAACCAGTCGATTAGAAGAGATTAAGCTGAGCTATGGGGGAATGGCTCCCACAACAGTCATGGCTGTAAAAACCTGTCAGGAGCTGGTTGGGAGGTAAATAAGCAAGAGTCATATGCAACATAACCGATGTCCAGAGCAGACTTTTGTAAGACTCTCAACTGGGAGATCAAACTCTATGATGTTATTATTACAGCTTCTAAAGAACATGGGGGGCACAGATGATTATTTGCTGAATTGTGGGGTCAAATATTTTCATTCTGTATTTTTTTATGGTTTGGGGGAAAGATTAGGAACGTTTGGCTTTAATGCCATAGTCTGTCATAAATTAGCAGTACAATGTGAGGAGACTTGGAAGACCACAAAATGGAACAGCTTATCAGCACTCTTGTAAAATGCAAAATAAATGTCATGTGCGACTAATATTGATTTTAGAGCAGTTGCTCTTGGCCATAAGGCAGCAGCAGCCATGAGTGCAGTTTAAAGGAGACTTTCTCATTGGGATGTCCTCTAAGGATGCCGCAACTGCATCTCTGATGGTTTCCACACACAGAAAATAAGCAGAGCTTCCATCCCATCATCATGGCCATCATCTTTGCTTTTTTGACCATATTTATTTATTTATCAAATTTATATGGCCACCCATCTCACAAAAAGTGACTCTGGGTGGCGTGCAACGATTAATTAAACAATAAATATGTAAAAAACATTATTAAAAATATAAAATAGTCATTATTAAAAAATAAAAACCACATGGCACAGGAGAGAGTAAGTATCAGCCACAGTGATGGAGCTGCCATAAGATTTCACTGGTCCCCTGGGACCCCCAGACCTGATGACAAAGCCAGGTCTTGAGGGACTTCCTGAACATTAACAGGGATGAAGGTAACCTCACTTGCTGGGGGTGGGGGGAGAATGTTTCATAAGGCAGTTCTGTGGACACCCTTGCTACGGGGCCAAAAGAGTGTGAATTGTGCAAGGTGAACTCCCAACGTATCTACGAGGCAGCAGAATGGGAATGCCTGGCCAAAATTTTGTACGGAAGAGACTGGGGCAAATGAAAGTATTTTGTGTTAATTTATGGTTCCTTTTTCTATAGAGAGTGGAAAGACAATCTCCTGCAGGAAGCTTGCCGTATGCTGGCTGGAGAGATGGATCTTTCCCCTTCGGCCCCTGGTGGCATGGTGGATTTCCGTCGAACTCTCGTGCTCAGCTTTTTCTTTAAGTTCTATCTCACAGTGCTTCAGAAACTAAGTATAGAATTAAATGACAATGTGAGTCCTTCAGTCTTCTTGACAGGATAAAGGTTCAGCAGCAGTTCACAATCCACAGTCCACAATCCACTAAATCCTAGAAAGTTTTCAGAAATGGGAGCATTTGGGGGAGGAAGAAACCTTTATGGACCTTCCCTCTTCATGATGGGATGATCAGATGAGCTATTTGTGGAGCAATTCTCTCTCTTCTTGCATTCAAAGTTCCTTACTGAAGTATTTGTTGGAGTATTTCTATTAGTGTTTTGCAGTTTATATTTAAATATACAGAATACTATTGATTGACTAAACTGAAGTCCTTCCTTTGGCTAAGGAAGTTAACTGCAGAAATATTGTGCTTTCTCAGGATATGAAGGCACAGTGTGTTTCAAAGGCAGCAAGGGTGACTTTGCATTGTATTAAAATCTAAATGAATAGAAAAATGGAGATGCCAGATCTGAAAAGGAAAAAGGGACTTGCTTCATCCTCAAAAGAGTTTATGATGAACTAAATAAAAGGTTGTGCGTTATAAATGACATACAGTTACATAATTATATGTTATTTTCTTCTTATATAAGTACTACATGAGAAGAAAATAATGTAACATAAAATTTATATTATTTATAATATAATTATAAATAATATAAATGTATATAAATAATAATATAACATCATTAACAACAATATTAATAAAGCTTTGTATGCTTTACTTTCTCAAATCCATGTGCAAGTTCCATATGGCTATTGGTATTTTTTTTTTTTTACATTTTGATTGTAATGTTATTGTGCAGATTAAAAGATATATTAAAATACATTTACCTTTGCGTAAGAGAGATAAAATTAAAGTCAGATTCTACATATGTTTTTACAGAATAATCTGAGTGATGTGGTCCCCTCCAGGTATGCTAGTGCCACTGAATTATTTCATAAGGATCCTATTAGCAATGTCCAGCTTTTCCAAGTAAGTAAGAGCAAAAGCCAGTTGTGTTTTCCATTTCTTGTATTGCCTCTCATCTCAGTTCTAGGAAATGTTCTTCCCTGGGCATTGGGCCTTACCTTGAACTAGCCCTTACTCTGATTTTTGCTGTGTCACCTTTTAAAATTAATTATTTACAGGAGATATCTGTCCTAACAGCACCTATTCCTTGCAGGTAGAAGGAATTGTCCCTGGTTTGATGTGCTAAATGCTGTTCCCCTAAGAGCCTTCATTGCTGTTAGTAGAATTTTAACTTTCTGAATGAGGCAATGTTTGTCAGGGATATTGGTGTCAGTATGTAATCAGCAGTGAAAGTACACCCATCTTTGCTTTTCTCATAGGAAGTGCCTGTTGGGCAATCCATTGACGATACGGTGGGACGACCCCTGATGCATCTGTCGGCTGCCAAGCAGGCAACTGGAGAGGCAGTCTACTGTGATGACATCCCTTCCTATGCGAATGAACTCTACCTAACCCTGGTTACCAGCACCAAAGCCCATGCTAAAATTATGTAAGTCCTGCTTCCATGACTTACATCATTATACATCAAATGGGAAAGTCCACCATTATCATGATGTGGATGTGGTCTGGGGTGGCTCTTACACTACAAAGGCCCCCAGGAAGGGCTATAGTCCACCTCCTTTCAATCATCCAGTAAAATATGTAACTTGTTGGTGTCTCTGGAAGTTGTGTGATTCTTACAGCTGACAGCATTTATTTATTTATTTATTTATTTATTTATTTATTCATTCATTCATTCATTCATTCATTCATTCATATTTCAAATTTGTCACTGCCCATCTCACTGCAGAGCGACTCTGGGTGGTTTACAGTAAAAGATGCAAACTGTACAATGTACCCAGATTGCTCCATATAGGAGAGTTGTGTGTATATACAGTTGTGCTTCAGAATGTTGACCACCTTTTCTTGGAGAGTTTTTGAGAATTGTATGTTTGTTTAGGACTTAGTTTCTAGGCCCCAAATCATCTAGGTTGCCCTTCTCTGAATCTCTTTTTCTTTTATCAGAACTCTTCTTAAAGGATATTGCCCAGAAGTAGACACAACACTCAAAAGGAGGGCTGTTCAGTGCAGAATAAAATAGAACTTTCACTTCATCTGTTTTAGAAATTGATGCAGCCAAGAATTGTATTTCCAGACTTGTGCCTAAATCCCATGGGAATAATCCTTCTGTGCTACCGTTCTCTTTCAGTTCTATTGATACCACAGAGGCTCAGAACGTACCTGGCTTTGTGTGCTTTGTCTCTGATCAGGATGTTCCAGGGAGCAATATTTCTGGGATTGCTAATGATGAAACCATCTTTGCAAAAGACATTGTACGTAATGATTATTTTTCATCTATAAAATGTTCTATTAATCCCCAAGGTACTAAAGTAGGGCGATCAACATTGTCCAATTGTTCATACTTATGTAATGTATGACATTGGCGTACTTAATAAAACTGAGGTTCTTCAAAGAGAGAAAACCAGAGTTTCTCACTTGCATTATAGCTCAATAATGACCTCCCTTGGTTCATTTCCAGATGTGTTTTTATCTTTTTATACATTTCACTTAGAAAACTCTTCACTTTCGCCCAAATTGGTGAATTACCTGTTAGGGTGACAACTGGCAGATACACCACCATCCCCTATGAAAATTGTATCTATATGTGTTCTGATACAACAGTCAAGTCTGTATGTCATGTACTATGAGAGTGCTCACTATATACTGAAAGGAGGATGGAACTTATAACACAAGTTCTGTTAGAATCTTTTTTAAAAGCTGAGGTTTGAATACTTTTTATATCTATCTCCCCCTTTTAACAAAATGAATTGTGGGACATCTCTAGCTGATTTATGGATTAAGAACAAAACAAAAATCTAATACTGAAGGAGGAACCATGGAAAATAGATGGAAAACATTGTTTAAATATTTTAACTGGGGAATGTCGGTATTTCCCTGATTGAGCACTAACTAATACATCAGGAACTAAGAAGTAGATTATGATTCAGGAAGATTTAATATGAGAAGTTGAGATAAACCCCACACATGGCCTACCTGAAGAGATAAAGAAGAGCAGATGCAGGCATATCCTAAGGCTGAACTCCTATCCAATAGAGTTTGGCAAACTGAGCTCCCAAATATTCACGAACTACAACTTCTACTGGTCCCAGCCCATACAGTCAATGCTGAGTGGTGCTGGGAGGGCTAGTTCAGCAGGATTTGGAGAATTCAGGCTTTCCTTTCCTTTCCTGTTGTGTGTGTGTGTGTGTACATATGTACGTACTTTGTTGTGACCAAACCCTGGCTCACCTAAAGCAACCAAATTACTTTGAAGATACAACATAATTTTATTAATATGCATACAGTATATACTGGGCTCCCAGCAAAGCTGAGCAGCCCTAGAGCTTATATCCTTCTGGCCTACTACACTGCAAAGACATGACAAAGAAAAAGGCAGACACAGTGAAATTACAGCATGATGTTAGAATATTATAGATAAACCCATCTGTGTGATCTTATTATTATTTATCCCTTCCTACTAGGTCAGCATGCTAGCCATACTATCTTTGAGTTATAGTGAATAGAAATAATTTGGTTACTGGGCCACAGGTTTCTGACTGGTTCTTCTCCCTGTCCCCACTCAGGGTCAGTTCAGCTTAGTGTGAATGTTTTCTTACAAGGGCACTTTAAGGACTTCATATGTATGAGGGGGCATCTCATAGATTTGGTAATGAATGCAGCTTATATGTGTATGTGTAAAAAACCTTTTACCACCACAACTTGAACATAGTTCCCACTGAACTGTCTGGGATCAAATGTTCGTCATGAGATCTGAGCACAAGATGTTGATGAAATTCTGATGCATAGAGTGTGATATTCTAGCTTTAATTTAATTATGAGGTGGCCAAGGAATGTGTGTGAATATCCTGTGTTTCACTGTACAGTTCTCCCTCTCCCAGTGTCTATGATGCCCTTAGTTTCCCACAGAAATCCCAGCAAAAGACATTGTATGGGAACTTTCAGTACCAGAGCCATCACCATTTCTAAAGGGGAGGCCTGCCCCTGAAAAATTATTGGAAGAGTTCTCATTCCTCTAGAGCGGTGTTGTCCAAACTTGGCCACTTTAAGATGAGTGGACTTCAACTCCCATGGCATTCCCCAGCCAGCCATG